ACACGTGTTTGGCTAGAACAACGATCTAAAACAAGGCCGCCAATCTAGGATAAAAACAAATGCAAATTCACCTAGTTGGTGTGTCTACTATTAAGAAATAAATGGAAGGAAAAAAAAATCCTATGCCAAATGGAAACATTAGAAGTTACTGAATGAAGAGTGCAATAACAAACTACAATAGAGATATGTGAAAGATTTTGAGATGAGGAAAACCTAATTTAAACCGTCTGAAAGAACTTTCTCGAAAACTCCAAATGGTAGGTCAACCGAGGTAGGAATCCCAACCCATGAAAGCACTTTTCCTTTTAGATATCCAATATTACGTGATTTAGCTCCAACCTGTGAAAATCAACATTCCGTAACTTACACAAACTGTTTAGAAAAAAGAGAAAACTCCTCAAATATAAATGAAATTTGACAATACAATCCTAACCACTTCACTAGTGAACTCCTCAGATGATATGGCATATCTGCCACCAAACTGCTTTCTGACCAATTTTATAGAGGGCAAAGGGCCTTGTTTGTTCAAGTTTGTTGAACTTGCACTTGTTAAGCCATCCTCCACCTTGCTGGGGTTAAGCACAAGAAAGAAAGAGAATTAATATTGGTTTCTTGTGTATTTTGGATTTTTAGTGGAGCAATGAATATTTTGATTTGTAGATTATATGAAAATGTATTCACACCTAAAGAAAAGTAAATGAAAAAATGGACTACAATTTTTAGTGGCAGCCAAAGAACTGGTGGCCAAGAAGATGGTCCTGCTTCTTGGGACAATTCTTTCAGGGAGGATAAATATGTAGCAAAGGAGAAGGTTGTAGGTGGGATGGTGGATAATCTTTCAATTGATGTTTCAGATGGCTCCAATGTTGGAGAAAATGTTTTTAGTGAACAAAATTTTCTAACACGCAACTGGTGGCCAAGAAGATGTGAGTGGCGTTGGTGGTTTGGCATTAAACAATCCTTCATGTGGAAGTGAAGTGAAACTAAGAGCATGGCCGAGGAGGTTGATCAAGCGCATGGTTCTTTGCATTATGTAATGTCATGGTCCAGTGTGCTGGTGAGTATGGAGAACAACAAAACTTCAGCCAGGCTTCTACATTAAAACATGCAATAAATGATGATTGTGCTGCTTATCACAGTTAGTTCATACTTCTTTACACATATAAGGTTTTTAACTTGTATTGGATTTTATTATTCTTTTCATCATTCTCTTTGATTTAATTTTGTTGGCTGTATCTTCATAGCTAATGATTTTTTTTTTTTCCAGGGACAATGGATTATGTAGCCTCGTACATAGTTTTGATTTCAGCATTTCAGATATCAATCTGCTTTTAGGAAATGAAGTTATGAAATCAACTTCAGATTTCAACATTTCAGATATCAATCTGTTTTTAGGAGAAGAAGTTATGAAATCAAGTTCAGAAATCTCAGAAACTAATTCTACATGCGAGGATAATGTTATACCGGTGTGACGAAAGAAAATGAACCAAATGGCAGTTTTGTTTCAGATGAGTCTATCTATGAAATTGATGAAGTTTTGATGAAGGAAAAAGATTGTGGCCAAGAAGTCCAGTGATTGCAGATATTCTAAGAATGAATTAGTTGAGGTTGAGAAATCTAGCATTTGTATAAATGAACCTGCTGACTCAGTTGATCTGAGAGACTAGATGGTTTCAAATCTTCAGAAGAAGGTAGTATTACCAAGATGTTGGTTGGAGGTCACAGAAGTGAAGAAAGGGTCAAAGAAGCAGCAGAACTGCGTGAAAATGTTTTGAAATCAAATTCAATGATAGAAGATCAGTCATCTTAATTCACTGAATTAGCTGTTGATGGAGGTATTCAGAGCTTCATTAAGAACTCTAATCATAGATTTTATCTGTATTTTATTATTGAACATATCGACATCTATCATCAATGAATGGTTGGTCTTGTTATTTCCTTTTCAGGCACTGCTGCTGCTGAAGACGCCACCGAGATATAGAGACCAAATTCAGGATCAGTTGAAGTGAAAAACTCACTTACCAAATTGAATTCAACAATTACAAGGAAGAATGAACAAAGCAGTTTGATTCAAAAAACACCCAAGAAGCCAATGACACTTGACATGAAAGAGAATGCACCACCAAGCATCAAGAGAGAGCATTTGGGTAGTACAATTGTGAGATTAACGACAAGGAGGCATGCTCTTGGGTGCCACTCATGAATCTTTTTTTTGAGAATCAACGAGTGAAAAAAAGAATTTCGGAGCCCTGTAATTAGTGTGCAGGCATATCTCATGCAAAAGTAATGCGACTTTTTTGGTGGTTTTGACAAATTTTTATGTTGTAATTACAGATTACTTGTAACAAAATTCCCAAACCCAGGAATTGGGGCCAAAATACCCACTAAGCATTAATGATGCCATTTTGGTATTAACAAGACAAGATTAACAAAATAATCTAAAAACCCTACATACACTGATTGATTTTACAAATGGGTTGGTTTCAACAAAAAATGAAGAAATGTTTACCAGGCAGTGTCGGTAGAGGATTTCTTGACGGCGAGGCGAGACCAAGTGACAACCTTGCTGGAGCTGAGGGGCTTGATTTGGACAGGTGTAACGACGATGCCGATGAGCTGTACAGAGTTACAGAGCTCCTTCTTCCACTGAAATGCTCTCTTTAGAACAAGAAGAGTATGGGAAAAAGGAGTAAGGGAAATCAAAGAGAAAAAGCGAGAAAGAGAGAGATAGACAGAGAGAGACAGACGCTTGAAAAATTATACCTACATAACGGCGGCGAGGCGAAGATGAACGGCGGCGTTGACGGTAGGGAGGCGAGGACGGCGGACGGCAGCGTTGATGGTAAAGAGGCGAGATGAGTGGCGTGACTGAGAGGGTGGGATCGATTGGGCGCGTTTTTGTGAAATATTATAAGGGTTTGAGTTTGTTTTCCCCTACAACAGTGTTAGTCGGCTATTTGGATTCTGTGCATTTAACAAGCAAAACGACGTCGTTTTGAAATCTACGACTAAATTGCAATAGTCGCTAAAAGATTTTAGTCTCCTTTCTAGTGTTTCACTTTCCCGCCTAAATTTTTGGTGACCAATATTTCAAATTAGTCGTGAAAAATCACTTTTTAGCGACTAAATTACTTTAGTCAGTAAAAGTATAAACTTTTGCATACCAATTTTTTTCCTAGTAGCCAAATGTGATTTTTTTGCGACCAAAAGATTTTTGGTCGGCAAAAGTGGTCAGTAAATTTGTTATTTCTTGTAGTGACAACGTTTGTGTTTGATAGCTATCACAGGCATATATATAGATAGGCTTGAACCCATATCCAAGTGTAACTCCTTATAACTTCCCACCATCGGGGAAGTTGTAACTTCCCATGAAACCACCATAGTTACCCATTACCCATTAAACTGATTAAATATATATAATAAATATATATATATATAAATAAAACAAACATATGGCATATGGGTTACTTTATGGATATTCTTACATTCTCCCACTTGGCACATATAACATACGTTGTTGACTGTCGAGTAACTAACAAACTGATTATGGCCATCAAATAAAAATACCCAAACCTTAGAGTTATAATACATGAATCATGGCTATTATACTCTATCAATTGAGTATTTCCTTCCATATATTACATTGTATGATACTCTCAATTTTATGTGGTGTCATTCTTTATGCATAACTTCTAATAAGTTATTTGTCCCAATGGATTGGATAACATCACAAATGCTTTAGGTGCACAAAATGATGATTTTCACTAATAATAATCAAAATGTCATGACAAAATAAAACAAAACAAAACAACAACTAGAAAAATTATGGAGCTAACCAATCAGTCTCATGCCCTCAACGTCTTTTGAAAACACCTTTACAGAAAGACCTTTGGTCATGAGATCTACAACCATCATATTGGTACTAATATGCTCAATGCTGACTTCTTGCTTCTTAACACGGTCTCGAACAATAAGATACTTTATGTCAATATGCTTGCTTCGACTACCACTTTTGTTGTTGTTAGAGAAGAAAACCGCAGCCGAATTATCACAGTAAACCTTTAATGGCCTAGAAATTGAATCCACAATTCGAAACCCTGTAATAAAATTCCTTAACCAAATAGCATGTGAGGTTGCTTCAAAGCAGGCTATAAACTCTGCTTTCATTGTTGACGATGCAATTATTGTCTCTTTGGCGCTCTTCCATGAAACAGCACCGCCTGCTAGCAGATAGACATATCCTAAAGTGGATTTTCTGGAATCTTGACAACCCGCAAAATCCAAGTCTAAATATCCAACCACCTCAAGACAGTCAACATGCTTGTAAGTAAGCATGTAGTCCAAATCAAATGACTAATTTACACGAACTAATCATAAATAAAGAAATGGCCTCGCGGGAAAGGAAGTGATTCATGCTCGGTCAGCTTCACTCGAAAATCTAGTATGGTGCCTCATATTGCCTCTGTTTGCACACTTCCAAACTCCCTAACTAGAGTAGCTTTTGTATGATACATAAACCTTACACCTGGCTCTATCCAAACTTGGAAACAAATAGAGGAAGTATTTTATGCCCAGTTTTTCCAAACAAAACCTGAGATTTCTATGGCAAACTTAGCAAGATTGAGCCAAAGACCTGATGAGAAGGCTGCTCAGTTCATAGCCAGATTCAAAAGGGCACAAAACAAATGTAGGGTCATGCTACCGGAGTTTGAATTTAGAAGAATGGCTCAAAATGGGTTGGAGTTTAGGCATTGAAAGAAGTTCGATTCAACTGAGTTTTGAGGCCGAATAGAATTAACCAATAAAGTTTCCAGCTATGAAACCTTACTTGAAGAAGAACAAGACCACAACAATGCATCCTATAAAACTTATTATAGGGATCCTAACTTCGAAATTGATGCAACAGAGATTATAGGAAAAGAACCTATTGTAGCTCGGCTTTTTCGCGCCCTCTTTCGGCAGCTCGGAAAGAAGCCCTACAGTTTAGACTCCTGTGGTTTTGAATCTAATCTCATAAGTGCAATGTAAAAATAATAATCACCAAAGAGTCCAAATCCAACAAATAATTTTGGAAAATTCATTTTGAATCAAAAAGTGCCAAAATTGGATTGCTTTGCCAGATACAGAATTGCCACTTAAATATTTTATTTTTAGGGAAATTTAAGAAACCCTGACTCGTGCCGAAGGCCACTTGCCCGTCTTTACCAAAGTTGCCTCAACTCGGGAACTTAGGTACGAGAGGGAAAGGTCATGAATTAAGCACCCCACTTGCCTGATTAAAGATCGGCCTCTACTAATTATGATGTGATTTTTATTTACATTATATGTTCTTGTTTTGATTTATTAGCTATATTACTATGTGATGCGCACATAAGGTATAGACTAGTTTGGAAGATTTGGGACACTTGATCTCATGTTTTGTTTTGAAATTATTTTGTGAATTTGCCACTTGAAAATGTGGGCTAAAAATGGACATTAATCAAACTATCCCAAGTCAAGCAACTAGCCTTCATCCATAGGCATTCAAACAGTTATATCATTTAAGCAATTAGGCTCATGGTATTCATGGTTTGGACATGGTAGCACAAACATTCAATGCAAGATGCTAAGACATAAAAATGCCCACCTAGTACTCCAAAGTGAGCCAAAACAAACAAAAGAGTTAGAAAAAATGCATGATCCTAACTATGAAATACGACTAGTGCAATACATGCAATATGAAATTATTAGGCTCGGGTACTAATATGGCATACGAATCAATTTGACAACATGCGGTTTAAGCACGTATTCAAAGAATTATTTAACTAACAATGCAAATTAGAATGGTGTGTCGAGCCTCGGTGCATGCAAGATAAGTGGATGCAAGGCATGAGAGATGCTAAATAAAACATGATGCCCTAAACTAACCAACATAAGCTAGTGTAGACGCGTCCCGCGAGGGGCCTTCGCTACTACAGTTCGGACTCGATTTTGTTGTCGCGGTTCTTAATCTTGAACCAAAGAGTCCAAATCTGGCAAATCGTTTTGAGAAACAGATTTTTGAAAAAGTAGTGCCAAACATGGACTGCTTTGCCAGATACAGAGTCGCCACCTAAATATTTTTTAAATGGGGAAATTTAGGAAACCCTGACTCGGTGCCGAAGGCCACATGTCCGTCATCACCGGAGTTGTCTCGGCTCGGGAGCTTGGGTACGATCGGGGGAAGGTCAGCTATGAGCACCCCCTTTCGCCCGGTCCGAAGACCGGCCTCTACTAACCATGATATCCAATTTTGAAAACGTTTATGCATTCTTATTCCGGTTATTAGCCCAGAATTATTATGTTATGCGCACAGCAAACAAGTATAGACCAAATCGCCTAAATTGGAACAAAACATTTCATGTTTGTTTTGAAAATGGATTGCTACTCGCAAGTAGGCTAAAATGCAGGTTTTGCCACCCTCAAGTGGGCTTTTAGAAAAGATGGTTTTGCCACTATCTAGTGGGCTTAAAATTCACAGTTTTAATGCGTTATCCCAATTTAAGCAATTCGACCTTCATCCACAGGCATTCAAGCAGTTATATCACATAAGCAGCTAGCCTCATGGTAATCATGCAATTATGACAACACTCACACGCATGCAAGGATGCTAAAGCATAAAAGCTCACCTAGTACTCCAAGCCAAAACAGAAACTAGTTAGTAATCATATGCATGATCCTAGTTCATGTTAAGATGGCTAATGCAACACATGCAAGATGCAACTATGATAGGCTCGGCTATCCTAAACGTGGCATGTGAAATGCTGGAATTAACAAGTACTCAACTTTGGAATTGAAATACAAGTGCAGTTAGTATGATGTGCCGAGCCCGGTGCATGTAAGACAAATGTATGGATGCACGCATGCATAGCATAAGGTATGCTAAATTAAACATGTCCTAATACTAACCATCAAAGCAGGTAAGTAAAAGGGAGAAAGAAGTGGGGGTTGGAAGACATACACACACGCACCCACACTTATTACAAGTACGCCCTCACTCGGAGGGACCGAATAAATATTACAGTCCGAATAAATAACTAACTACTTAATTAATTATTACAGAATTTCTATTTAATCAATAAATTAAATGCAAAGGGAAGGTGGCCACGGCCCCCGCCTCGGGATGCGCGAATGATGCATGCTTGACCCATATCGCCCGGAAACTCGCTGCCATAGCACTACTGCCTTTGTTTTCACTGCCTTTTCTTCTCTGAAAACTTGTCAAAGTCTTAGAGAACCTTCTATGAGCATTGCAGAACATCATCGGCTGGGAGGGATGGCCACCGGCCGTGTACAATATCCATCGGCTGGAGATAAAGCTATCGGCACTGAATAAATGGCCGGTCGGCACTGAATGTTGCCGGTCGGCAGAAACTTCCTGCAGAAGACACTTTTGACAGCAACAAAGGACAGAGGAAGCCAAGACAAGGGGTCAAGGCTTCCTCAAGAAGCCTTGAGCAAAGGGTGCAAGAAAAGGGGCCAAAGGGTGTGCAAAGGGTGCAAAATAGCCACATATATGCACGTGGAGTAGGGTCTGTGCATCCCAGCTGGCATAGTTGGCATGCACCATGCTTGAGGGATGAAAAAGGGGCATATCGGCCATGAAAGGAGGTCATCGGCAAAATAAATGGCCGGTCGGCACAATATATTGCCGACCTGAACCTCTATCACATGATCAAGAGGCAAGGCATGCATGCCAATGCAATGCAACCTAGGTATGCAAACAAGAATACAAGCATGCTATGCAACTACATGGCATACACAATGCTAACAACATAACATGCGCAACGCTTTGAAACATGTCATACACAATGCAAGATGGGCTTACACCAATACTAGTGGACCTCAGCCACACTCACATAGGAGGCCATAAGTTGAAGATGAAGTGCCTCGAAATGCATGCACACGGGCACGCAAACCGAGGCAATGGCATATGTAATGCAATGGCTAAAATGGCATATAGAATGCAACATGGACTTATACTAACATGAGAGAGCCTCAGCCACACTCACATAAGAGGCCGATGGATGAAAATGAAGTGCCTCGAAATGCGTGCACACAGGCACGCAAACCGAGGCAATGGCATACGCAATGCAATATGGCTAAAATAGCATATAGAATGCAACATGGACTTATACTAACATGAGAGAGCCTCAGCCACACTCACATAAGAGGCCGATGGATGCGTTTTGGTAAATCTCCTACTTCGCCTCTGCATCATGTTTATTGATTCCCAAAACTTTTTATTCATCTTGTGTGTGTGTGTGTGTGTGTGTGCAAGGTCAAGGTTGTCTCTTCCCCTTTTCACGTTGCACTTAAGGTCAACTTTTTATGTCTTTTTATTCGCCTCTGGCCAGATGGACGAAACTTGCAGCTGCACTTCAGGTCAAGGTTGTCTCTTCCCCTTTTCACTGGAGGAAAAGTAGAAGGGGAACAGGGTGCTGCAATCCATATTGTTTTACTTGATGTGAATACAGGTCATGTTGTAACCTCTGGACCTGAATCCACCATAAAACTTGATGTTGTTGTGCTGGAAGGTGATTTCAACAATGAAGATGATGGGGGTTGGACCGAAGAAGAATTTGAAAGCCATGTTGTGAAAGAGCGTGAAGGAAAGAGACCACTTTTGACTGGGGATCTGCAAGTGACGCTCAAAGAACGTGTGGGAACCCTGGGAGAGCTTACATTTACTGATAACTCAAGTTGGATAAGGAGCAAGAAGTTCAGGCTTGGCCTGAAGGTCGCCTCAGGCTTTTGTGAGGGCATACGCGTAGGTGAGGCAAAGACAGAAGCTTTCACTGTTAAAGATCACAGAGGGGAATGTAAGCTGCTTAGTGTTTATTTTTGAACTCCTTTTTAAAATTATTTTTTCTGGATTGTCTTTGGAATATTGTTGTTGACTTCTTTTCATTTATAGTATACAAGAAGCACTATCCACCTGCTTTAAATGATGATGTCTGGAGATTGGAGAAGATTGGCAAAGATGGGTCATTCCACAAGAGGCTAAATAAGTCAGGAATATTCACGGTTGAAGACTTTGTTCGACTTGTTGTCAGAGACTCTCAAAAACTACGGACTGTAAGTGCATGCTTGGTTGTTGAATAAGAGTATCCATTCTTTATAATTATCTGCTGACTCCTCTGTTGGCTGTAGATCCTTGGCAGTGGTATGTCAAATAAGATGTGGGATGCTCTCATAGAACACGCTAAGACTTGTGCCATGAGTGGGAAGCTTTATGTGTATTATGCTGATGATACAAGAAATGTTGGTGTTGTCTTTAACAGTATTTACGAGCTAAGTGGCCTTATAACTGGTGAACAATATTTGTTATCTGATTCCCTGTCTGATAGCCAGAAGGTTAGTATGAGACATTTTTTTTGGCAATGCAATTCTTGTTTTATTAAGTAAGCACTCTTAGGCATATGTTAAGCATTGTAAATGAATTAATGAGATATGAATAAAGCCTAATGAGGAACAT